CACACACACACACACACACACACACACACACATACACATACACACACACAAACACACACATCAAGCTACGTTGTCCGTCTTACAGTTGATCTATTTAAATCAAAACGTGCTCTTCTTTGCAGCAGAAAGAGCGTCCTTCAAACATGTTATGATGATATGTTTCAGTTTCAGTGTCCTACATCCCAAGTGGATGAGTGGTATGCACTGTCATTCAAGGACACGGAGCATGAACCATGTCAGATTAGGATTGGTCAAAACTATGTCGTGGGTGAGGTCCTGCATGTCACCAGGCGTGTTTGTTTGTGTACTGTTGAATTATGTTGCATGCGTGACTTAAGATGTCAGGAGAGTAAAGACAAAAAATAAATTATTACCATGACTTTTGCAATAAAGTCGTTGTTATTAGCACTAGCTAACTATCTCCGATTTGCACCCAGCGTACTGATCTACCTCTCTCTCTCTCCACACACACACACACACACACACACACACACACACACACACACACACACACATACACACACACACACACACACACACACACACACAAACAAACACATACGAAATCCTGCATGAGACGGGCGCTGTCTATGAACACGATTTCCTGTTGCTTCTGAAAGCTGGAGCTCCAGTTTTGAGCATGCCTCTCTGTTGATTCATGGCTAAACACAAATGTTGTAACTCATGTTTGCAAGACACAAGAGATCAAAGTCTCCACGGACGAGCGACATAAAAGTGTGAATTGTGCCCTCGGAGTAGATATTTCACCACCTGACCTGACCATAATAATATACTGACATGGTGACTTTACCGTTGTATGCTTCCCGGGAAGCTGAGAATGTTTCTGAGTGTTCTATGGTCTGCTGGGGTAATAATATAGTGTAAAGCGCATAGAGCCTGCTGTTGAGCGGGGATATGCGCTATACAAATGCTATTATTATTATTATTATTATTGTCGTTTAAGCACGTCCCCTCTTCCCCCCATTTTGCACTCTATTTCCTTCTTCTACTGGCTATAAACGCGTGATTACTGCATGTAATTTTGGTTACTTATACATGTATACCCCATCTCATCGCCATAATTATATTTAATTTATAATAAAAAAAACAACAGGCCTACAAGCTCACACGAAACACAATGGCTGCATTTTGAAACTGTTTTACAAAACGATCTTATCATAATTGATAAACAAGATCTGTTTCATTTCCTCACAAAAGCTTGTTGACCACATAATTCAAGCCATGTAGCATTTTATTGTATCCACTGTGCTAATCAACAAAGGCGTCTAGATAATCGTAGCTGCACTTCTCACTGAGATTGTCTCGTCATAAAAGAACGAATGATGCCTTTATCTATTTTTATCCCTGAACCAAGAACACATTCATGTACATTATGTATTATGCTGAACACGATCTGATTGAAAAACTCGTCCGGAGGTCATGTCGGCTTACCGTATTATGCTGGCAAGGTGATTAAAAACAGGCTTTGGTTTGAAAAAGTATTATATAATGAGTGTGTCTGTTTGAATTTATATGTATGTGTGTGTGTGT